GGGTGGGAGGAGGGGATAGGTGGGAGGAAGAACAGGTTAGGGAGGCAGGGACGAGCTGGACTGGTTTTGGGATGCGGTGGGGGGAGGGGAGATTTTGAAACTTGTGAAATCCACATTGATACCATTGGGCTGCAGGGTAGCCATGGGTACCCGCATGGGCCCAAGCTACGCCTGCCTCTTTGTAGGTTACGTGGAACAATCCCTCTTCCGCACCTACACCGGCCCTAAACCCCACCTCTTCCTCCGTTACATTGATGACTGTATTGGCGCCGCCTCGTGCTCCCACGAGGAGCTCGAACAGTTCATACACTTCACTAACACCTTCCACCCCAACCTTAAGTTTACCTGGACCATCTCTAACACCTCTCTCCCCTTCCTGGACCTCTCTGTCTCCATATCGGGCAACCACCTAGAACCCGATATTCATTTCAAGCCCACCGACTCCCACAGCTACCTAGAATACTCCTCCTCCCACCCACCTTCCTGCAAAAATGCTATCCCCTATTCCCAATTCCTTCGCCTCCGCCGCATCTGCTCCCAGGATGAGGCATTCCACTCCCGTACATCTCAGCTGTCCTCGTTTTTCAAGGACCGTAACTTCCCCTCCTCGGTGGTCGAGAACGCCCTCAACCGTGTCTCCCGCACCTCATCCCTCACACCCCGTCCACGCAATAAAAGCCAAAAAAGAATCCCCCTCGTCCTCACGTACCACCCCACCAACCTCCGGATCCAACGCATCATCCTCCGACACTTCCGCCATCTGCAATCCGACCCCACCACCAAAGACATCTTTCCCTCCCCACCCTTATCTGCTTTCCGGAGGGACCACTCTCTCCGTGACTCCCTTGTCCGCTCCACACTCCCCTCCAGCTCCACCACACCCGGCACTTTTCCCTGCAACCGCAGGAAGTGCTACACCTGCCCCCATACCTCCTCCCTCACCCCCATCCCAGGCCCCAAGAAGACTTTCCACATCAAGCAGATGTTCACCTGCACATCTGCCAATGTGGTATACTGCATCCGCTGTATCCGGTGTGGCTTCCTCTACATCGGGGAAACCAAGCGGAGACTCGGGGACCGCTTTGCAGAACACCTACGCTCGGTTCGCAACAAACAACTGCACCTCCCAGTCGCGAACCATTTCAACTCCCCCTCCCATTCCTCAGACGACATGTCCATCCTGGGCCTCCTGCAGTGCCACAACGATGCCACCCGAAGGTTGCAGGAACAGCAACTCATATTCCGCTTGGGAACCCTGCAGCCCAATGGTATCAATGTGGATTTCACAAGTTTCAAAATCTCCCCTCCCCCCACCGCATCCCAAAACCAGTCCAGCTCGTCCCTGCCTCCCTAACCTGTTCTTCCTCCCACCTATCCCCTCCTCCCACCTCAAGCCGCACCTCCATCTCCTACCGACCAACCTCATTCCGCCCCCTTGACCTGTCCGTCCTCCCTGGACTGACCTATCCCCTTCCTAACTCCCTACCTACACTCACCTTTCCTGGCTCCATCCCCGCCTCTTTGACCTGTTTGTTTCCTCTCCACCTATCCTCTCCTCTATCCGCCTCCCACTCTCTCCCTATTTATTTCAAAACCCCCTTCCCCTCCCCCTTTTCTGATGAAGGGTCTAGGCCCGAAACGTCAGCCTCTCTGCTCCTATGATGCTGCTTGGCCTGCTGTGTTCTTCTACTTTGTCTGCTGACTTGAGTTTGGTTCCAAACACACACATTCAAGAAAATGGATAAAAATAATTCTGTAACTCTTTATCCTAATGCACTGCACAAACTATCAATTTTTTGTTTTAAGTTTATACCAAAGATGTGTTGCTAAACCTCCCTTTCCTTTGCAGTTTGGTATTTCCTGAAAGAACATATTATATGTGTACAAAGACAGGAGTTGAAGCTGATGAATGGATCAAGTTAATACGATGGAAGTTGGTAGGTGCCTACTTTTTAAGAAAAACAGTTTTGAGTATGACAGTTCCCTGGGAATAGATTGGAGTTTGGGTAAATCATGGGAAAGGCATCTACTGCTGCGAGCATTATTGATTCTAGTGATTGGACGTTATCTACTGATACATCCTGTGGAGAAAAGTTAGTTGGTTCGTGTATCAACCGGTAGAAAGTTGGCTACTCAAAACTAGCGTGGAGTTGGCTGCAACTAAGTCACAACACTGTTCTGTAAAGTGCTGGGAACACAGGTGGTCAGGCAGCATCTTGGAGTTGACATTTTGGGTTGATTTGCAGTATTTTGTTTTTAAAAGTCCCAGTTAACTTTTCTCTGTTTTTTTGATTTCAGAGTCAAATGAAGAAAGCAGCAAAATCTTAAATGGATCACCAAGAATTGTCATCTGCAGTGCCACAACAGACCTAGCTTTTGATGACAAACTGCCATCTCTACAAACTGAGGGATTTGGAAGTCCATTTATTTTGCTTTAGTTTCCCTTCTTTAACCCTTTGAAATTAGAGCATAGCACACAGATTTGACACCAATTTAACACAAGGCACTCAGGACCATTTCTAGAAGAATGGAACTCAATAACCAAAGTTATATCGAACTCACTGGATAAAGAATGACTCTTGAAAAGATTCCTTTATCAAATGACTGGGCAGTTTGGGGCTCTTTTCTCTTGCAGTCTTCTGCTGGAGAGAACTTTGTTATAAATACTTAAAATAATGGAGTCTCTTCTTTCAAGTGATCAGTGAGAATGTGGAGCTTCTGCCAAAGCAGAGTTGCATTTAAGGAAAAGGCACACAAGTGGTGAAGGAACAGCCCAATGTTATGCTGCTACAGTCAGATGAAATAGTGGGGGAGGTGGTTTGTACAGAACATAAACACCAGCATAGACCTATTTCTATGCTAATACATTCTATGTAGTTATCATTAGTAAAAATGAAAAGGATGAAGTAACATGTTTAAATGCTACCTGGAACATGAGCCCTGGCTGGCTCTACTTCATCTATGATCCACTGTGTACAACAGAAATAATGCTTTGGCTAGCAGATGTTATTTAAGCCTCTTAGCACTTTGTATTTCCCAATATTTGCTATTGTATTACTTTTGTAAGATATTTCTTATACAAGTGTTTTGAAAGCTGATCATTTTTGAGTACTAAGAAGGGCATTAGGTGTTGTTTTAGAAAATCTTTTAAATGTCAACTGTAATTTTCCTTTGCCATACTCACTGCCATTTTAAATATTACACTGTTTTCTCTGCTAGGTATGGAGAAATACCAGCTGCATCTAAAAAGCCATTTGTTAAATAATAGCTAGTAGGTCCTTGTTTTACACTGCTTCCTTGAATGCAGTTTTAATGTTTTGAGTCATCTGCATTGTGGTTCAGTACCATCCTCATCAAGCACATGGCAGGCCATGTCTTAGCAGAGTGTTAGCACAGTGGCAGATGTCATCACCTGTCAGCACTGGAGGCAATTTCACTTTTTAAAACAAACCAAGAACCAGCATCCTGAAGATGACCTGTCACAACTTCAAAGGAAGAGCCAGGGTTCCTTGTCTCCATGGGGGAAAAAAGGCAATTTTCTTGACTCAAGCTGATCTTAATTTTGGAATGCATAAGTGTACACATATGGTACATTTGTGGCTATTTCTTGCCTTAAGGAACATACCCCTCCCCTGCCAATTCCAGTTGTAACATTGATACTATGATTCTTGTGGAAAACAATTTTCAGGAATAAGGGAGGACTTATCACATTTGTTTTGACAGTTTAAGCCTGAAATGGCAATTATGACTACCCACAACTACATTGCAGAATGAAGGGTACTCACTTTTGACAGTTTGTTTTAAATTCATAATTCTGAGTTTGCAAGTATTTCGGTGACAATAGCTGAACCTACTTTATGAAGATTGGTCATGAAATATTGCAGACCATTTTTTTTGTCCTATTTTTCCCTTAAGATTTTTACGATTCACAAATGTGCATTTTTAACTTGCACTTGGTGCAATTTCAAATTGTCACAATAGCCAGCACTATTCTAGCTAAGAATGGGGACACCCTCCTAAACCAAACAAATTGATATAGAAATAAATGGTATTGTCTTAGACTTACAAATAAAGAGATTAGAACCCTAATAATCCTTTTACCATCTTAACTCCCATTTTGAAGTCACAATATTTACACATTACACTTTTTTTTAAATGTGTATGGTACTTTGTGGCAAATTATCAAGAAATAAAGTTAGACATTTGACTGCTTTAAGTACTCATGTTTTATTCCATATTGTATTGCACTCAGTGAATGATCATCACTTCCTGGTTCTTCATTTACAAGCAAGATATCAAAACATGCATGAGTGAATTTTGACACCTACAGTTTTTGCAGCTGTGCATCACTTTAGTAACAAGATCTTCAGCTTGGGCATTAAAACCAGACAAAGAATGTAATTTAAAGCCAGTTATAGGATTCTCCTCTTCCTTCTGCCTTGAAAATAAACCAATTACAGCCCATGAGTTCAGGATACCAGAAATACTAATTTTTCATAAAGAAACACATTAGTGGCAGTAAGGTGTCAAGCAGACCAACAGCTTAGTCATTTGTGATCCAATTCTCAGTTTAGGATGTTTTAAACTCAGTGTCTTTAACAGCAACACTTGAAATCCTGGGAACTGCATGCTGTGCCAATAAGTTCACAATCTTTGAGATGTTCTATTCGTTGGCTTTGGCTCTTCATGAAACCTCCACTGCCTGACGAAGCTCTTCAAACAACGGTGCGAGCTCTTTCTCCAGACTGACAATCAATCCTTTCAGAGACAGAAAACAGTAATTAGAAAACCAATAAAATGCAGATCCACTACTAAAGAGCCATCAAAAGCTTTCCGGACGTGGCCCTTTGATCCTTATATTCACCAAGCAAGGGCTCAGAGCTATACACTCACTCATCTATTGCTTTGCCCCTTCCTGAAACCTTTGTTCAGATGATATTCATTCGGTTGCTTTTAAAATCTATTACAGATTCCACTACTGCTCCAGTTTCAGATGGGGTACTTTATGCCCTAGCTCCGCAAATTTAAAAGATATTTGCATTCTTCCCACCTATTTATTTGCTAATCAATTTTACACACTTTGGCTATCAATCAATAGAAGTAGTCTTTTGATGACTACTTGAATAGGTACTAATTTTGAATGTTTCTTTCTGATTAAGACTTTTTCAATAAAAAGGTTTCCATCTCTGGTATCAAATAATGAACCTCTTCACATCCTCTCTAGACTTTGACTTATTCCTAAAGTACCAAATTTTGATTTCATATATTTTGGATCTCAGCTTAAAAATTGGGATCTGTATGCCAATTTATTTTTAAAAAGTTATCAACTTGTTCACTCCCCTCACTTTTAAAGATTTAGGTCTTTGAACTGAAGCCTCCAAAGTTTATTAAATTTAATCTCATGCACTTTCTAATTTTCTTCTGGAAATGTATTGCTTCATTTATCTGAATTAAACTTCATTGGCAGCTATGTCCATGCTCCTAACCTGCACATCATCTTGAAGTTACTTCATTCAAAAGTTTTTTTCACATTCCCTAATTTTGTGTCTTTATGCTTTGCATTCCTTTCAACAGTTTTATTGCTACTCCATTTTAACTACTGAACAACCTTTCTACAAAGTGATTATCTTACAGATCGTCACACAGATTAACACTCACTTTCTAGTATATATTTCTTCCCATTTACCACAATGTTGATTTTTCTCTACATATTCAGCAATATAACTTTAAAAACAGACCTGCCTCTTTTCGCATCAGTTGTGCATTCTTCACTTTTAACAAACATTAATTTTTTTCTTGCAAAACTTAATAAATTTGTGGTGTAAAAATACACAGGGATTCAGTCATTAGCTCTTTATTATTCTACTAAATTCACAAAACACATTCTATTTAATTTAAACCACTCAAATCAACAGCCTTGCCTTGAATCCATCTTGCGCCTCACTCAGATTCTGCAGTTCCCAACCCCATGTAAAACACATTCCAACAAATCCATGCTTTCCCAATATTCAGCTTCCCTGTTACTTTCTCCTGTCGTAAATGTGGCTGTTTCCCCCACTAGAAAGTACAATAGGAAAAGGATGCAAGTGACAAACTGTGCTACAAAGTACTGGGAGAGAGTGTTACCAGTATTGTTATTATACCATGCTTTTAACATAGTAAGTTTGGCCAAAAGGTTTTAAATAGTATCTTAGGGAATCCTGGAGCTTAGAATCCAGAAGGCATTGATGCAAGTGGAGTGATTAAAAAAAAAATGGATGAGTTCAAGAATAAGAAGAGGAAAGTAAAGACTTTGCAGGAGATTAAAACTTTTTTATTGAAATCTACACTATTTTAAACTTGATTGTTAATGAATGTCACCAGCACAGGTATGATGGATAAAGTCAGAGTTAGGATACAGGCAGCAGGTGGCTTATTGCTTCAGGGAGAATGAAGATACAAGAAGAACATACAAAGACTGTCTTATACTCAATGAAATAAGTCAGTCAAAGATAGGGGAGGGCAGGAATTTAGGAGCCTTGAAGCAACCAGACATAACAGACACTATGAAAATAGACATTCAAGCCAGAGATAAGAAAATTATAGAAAAACAAAATCTGCAAAGGACAGCTGGTCCCGTTACTGGCAATTAGAACTGTCATGATCTCAAGCCAGCATCTTCAACAAAATGATACAAAGTGAGGTTGACCTTCTAATTAATGGATTTTGGAGAGAAATGGCTGGATAACAAGTCAATTCTTTGAGAATAAATAAGGGGTAGTTTGAAGCAGCAGTGAGGTCTATTTTCAGACAAGCTTATTTCAATTTGCACTGGCTCAGCAGAGTAATCATGCTGGATTCCTACACATGCACACAGCAACAGGGATGTCGGGTAGAGTAAAGCAGCCAAACAATGAAATTCTCAGACAGAAAACCAGAAACAGATATAGATAATCCTTGTTTCAGAGATAGTAGGAACTGCCGATGCCGGAGAATCTGAGATAACAAGGTGTAGAGCTGGATGAACACAGCAGGCCCAGCACCATCAGAGGAGCAGGAAAGCTGACGTTTTGGGTTGAGACCCTTCTTCAGAAGGGTCTTGATCCGAAACGTTAGCTTTCCTGCTCCTCTGATGGTGCTGGGCCTGCTGTGTTCATTCAGCTCTACACCTTGTTATCTATACATAATCCTTCACTTCTTTTACATTTTGCTGGGAAATAAATGATTGGTACATACACGTTAGAAACTAAAATATCCCAAACTTAAATCTTGAATGCTACTCATCATAATGGAAAACTTAATCTAAGAAAATTAATTTTCAAGACCTTTAGCAGTAGTTACAAGTTAGTACACAGTTTAAAAACGCAGTTACATCCTTTAGCAATATATTACACTGCGAAGGAGGAAGTCCTCATGAGACTGCGTTCAGTGATGCGAAAAATTTACTGTTTGCATGGTTTTAAAACACTATTCTGGAGGAGGAGTGGGTCATTTCTGACAATAACTTCTAGATCTTCATATTTAACTATGTACATTTGTACTCCTGAAGTTATTGACAAGTCCAGTAAGCAATGGTGAAGATGGAGTTTGACTGTCACAATGACAGCAAAATCCAGGGTGTGTTTAAATAATAACAGACTGCACATGTGGAATTCCAGGAAGACAATTTCATCTATAAATTAAGCTAATATAATTTACCTCAAAATCACCTTCCCTCTTGTAATAGTGTCAATGCTTCCATCAATGTCAATTGTTTCAATCGTAAGAGATACTCTACCACAGAGGTCAGTAAAACCACCCCAAGATCATTTCTCTTTAGAGGGGATGAGGGAGAAATTTTTTTTAAAAATTAGCTTTGGTTCAGTTAGTAGCAGACTTAGTTCAGACAGAAGGTCATCGGGTTGAGTCCCATTAAAATTGTTATTTTTAAAAGGAAAGTGTGCACAGAAAGTATTGTTTTTATCAACCAAAACAACTACTGTTGTATTCAATTCAATGACTTGTGAGGTAACAAACATGTCTGGTCAAGAGTAGCATCCCATGTTTGAGAACTGAAACAATACTTGTACTGGACTTGGTTTAATGTGATATGAAAACGTTTTGTAATTGGCTTTGGCATTAGCCCAGTGGTATCTATTTTAACATGTTTAATGTACAAAACCGAAGTACCTGTGTTAGCATTGCTGTTGGCTATGAAGCTAACAACCAAGGGCAACCGATTAAACTGCACAACCTGGAAAACCAAAAAAGGTCAATAAGAAGAAAAAGAAATCACCAAAAACAATGAATTTAGACCAGGACAATGAAGAGTTTAGGAACCCTTAGATTAGACTATTCAGTCCATTGACAATAACGGGAGTTGCTGGAAAAGCTCAGCAAATCTGGCAGCATCTGTGAAGAAAAAAAAAAAATCAGAGTTAATGTTTCAAGTCCGGTGACCCTTCTTCAGAACTGAAGAAGTTCTGAGGAAGGGTCACTGGACCCTGAAAAGATTAACTGATTTTTTTTCTTCACAGATGCTGCCAGACCTGCTGAGGTTTTTCAGCAACTCCTGTTTTTGTTCCTGATTTACAGCATCCACAGTTCTTTCAGTTTTTATTCAGTCCATTGAGCCTGCTTGGTCATTCAGTTAGATTACGGTTGATCATCTACCTTAATTCCACTTCCTGCACATCACTTGTATTAGTCTCCAGAAATGTACTGATTTCTGTTGTAAACATGGTCAATGATGAGTTTCCACAGCTCTCTGGCATACAGAATTCCAAATTTTCCAAATACAGAATTAAATGAAAAAATTTCTCTTCATCTTCGTGTTAAACAATCTACCCCTTATCCTATGGACTGTGACCCCAATTTTAGCTAGGGGAAACTGTTCACAGGAATTAATTGGTCATCACCACTGATGATTTTTCTGTATTATAACCTGGAGTTCAGTACACGGGATCAATAAGTAGACAGGGTATTCAGGACAGTGTACATCTTCAACAATGCTGCACAACTGAATGTTACAATAATTGGATAGCCGTTAGGGTTTTCCCCTACCTAGTTTATCTTAAAATATCTTTTTTCAGCTTTTACATTAAGTGCTTTTATTTCACTGAGGATGCTCCAGGCCAATCCACATCCAATAATCTGCTCTGAAAACTCTATTCACATTTTAACAGCTGTAACAAAACCTACCACAGTAGTTGACACAATCAACATTCTAAAAAAAGAAAGTCATTATATCACATCTCCCAATATTAGTGGATAGATCCCTTTCAAATAATTCCAGGATCTGGTTTCACATCTTTGCTTTAAAAGTTCTCTTTGGGCTATACCTGCCTAACAGGTTTTGTTAAAATCAATCCATTAGTTTTTGAGACATGGCTAAATGTTAAAGCAAAACATTAAACTCATTAAAACAAGGAGGTCTCAACCAAGTGATGTAAACCTTTCTTCCTCTTTTGGTCAACAATTTGTTTCCCTGTTATTTGTTGGTAAAACACCCGACAATGTTTTTTTATGGGTTGAGGGAGACTATTCTGAATGTGGATCCCACTGCAAGTCAACAGTATAAGATTGCACTGTACAGGTGCTGTTCCACTAGATGGCAGCCATGAGCAAGTGTGACTGCACATACAAGTAGAATGTTGGTAAATGAAACAATTTAAAATGGAAATACATATTCCTGACTCTTTAAAGAAAGATAAAGCCATATGTAAAGGCGCAAGGTCTCAGCAAACGGAGGGACAGGTTGATGATGCAAGAGAGATGATGAAAACACGTTATAAACGCAGTTGCAACTGTACAAACCATTCTGATCTAGAAATCCGGAAAGCTGTATAAATTTGGAATTTCTCTAAACATTAACAACTCTGGCAATATACTTTTTTAAAAAATACGTACAAACTTAACATGCATTAATGCACATCCTTAAAATAATTCATTGGAATTATTGCCTAAAAGAAATAAATGGAATTTAGATTCCTATAAGAAAACTGCACACAATAGGGTGGGAAGGGGGCACATACCATCTATTTGAGTAATCCACTTATTAACCAAGAGATCTGACCAAAAAAAAAAATCACCTGGTTAAGTCAGAGTTAAAGTTTCAGGTCCAGTGATCCTTCAGTTCTGAGGAAGGGTCACCGGACCCAAAAAGGTTAACTGATTTTTTCCTTCACAGATGCTGCCAGACCTGCTGAGCTTTTCCAGCAACTTCTGTTTTTGTTCCTGATTTACAGCATCCGCAGTTCTTTTGGTTTTTATCACCTGGTAAGTGTTGTAATAACAAATGATGCTCTTGTTCTTTGAAAGTCCCAACTTGCTTCCTTGATCTGTTGCCAGAGCAAAGGTGGAGAGGAATCCAGGTCTCAGTGCATGCTCGGGTGCATTATCATTAGCAACTGAAAGAAGATAACCCACAGGAACAGTGAATTTTTATTGCTCTACAGACACAAGTTCAAAGTTACTAAAGAAAAGCAAGTTAACAAAATACATTAATCATCTCAAAATAGGGAAACCTCATCGCTATTCACACACCAATGTCATTTTGATTGTGTGGGGAAACACAAAAAATTACAAAGCTTCAGAAACAGAACTTCACAGTATCATAGAACAGGAGCCATTTGGTCTGTTGTGCCTGTTCTTGCTGTGTGCAAATCACCTAGTCACATTCCCCTGCCTTATTTCCTTAGCACTACAAAACTTGTCTTCAGCTAACTATGTGATCCTCTTCTGAAGCTTCAATTAAATCCATCTTCAACACATTCTCAGGCAGTGCACTAACATTCAAGATCCTAACCATGTCACAATTTCTTCATAATAGGATCAATAATTATTGCTTAGTAGCATAAACTTGCGCTGGTGAAAAAGAAACAGTCAAGCTTTTTGCCTTGAACTCATCAGGACAATTTGCAAGAGTTCCAATAAAGAAGGAACTAAGTACATGCTGTATGAGGAGCAGAAGGTTGACTGGTTGGCAAGTCGACTCTGGTAGAGATGTTGCCAGGGAGAATGCAGCAGTTGGTGATCATTAGCAATTAACTGCCATACGTTGTTTGGATTTTAAACTATTCAGCTTAAACAGTGATTGGTTGGAGCACTGCCATGAGAAGTGAGCCAGAAAATAGTTGCCATCTATTCTGTTGAGTCAGCACAGCAGTTCGCACTGCTGCCTCACAGCGCCAGGCACCCGGGTTCAATTTCGGCCTTGGGTGACTGTGCGTGGAGTTTGCACATTCTCCCCATGTCTGTGTGGGTTTTCTCCGGGTGCTCCGGTTTCCCCTCTCAGTCCAAAGATGTGCAGACTAGGTGGATTGGCTGTGGGAAATCCAGGGTAATAGGGATAGGGTAGGGGGTGGGTCTGGGTGGGATGCTCTTCAGAGGGTCAGTGCAGACTCTATAGGCCAAATTTGTTCACTATTGCTAATAGCCTGCTTCCACATCATAGGGATTCTATGATTTCCTGCCTCCTGTCCAACAGTTCTCCCTCGAACAACACAAGTTATTTAGCTGTGAACTTTTCTGTACCTCACATAACGGTTATTTCAAAAGTAGCTAATTAGTTGCAAAGCACCAAGGAAATGCATTTATAATAATAGTAGTGCACTTGCTGTCAAAGTTGAAATCCATACCTAGCGTGCTTTAAAGTTAACGGAATGGGATTATGAATCTGTATCGCGCAGGTTGGAATTTGGGCATTGTATTAGCTCTTCCAAACGAGGAACCAATCCAAATTAAGAATGTAATGCTCAGGAGCATGAAGCAATTATCGATAATTGTGTGTAAGAGTAGGTTTACTGAGCAGCTATGACTTACCTTTAATCACAGGTACTCCATCTCTGTCAGATACCACAATGGCATGAAGGCCCTCAACACTGTAAAACAATTATGCAAAAATTATTCATGCTGCACCTCTACACTGGCATTGGAATTCAAGATAGCGCAAGCACTGAAATTACACAAGTCTTTTGTTGTAAAATTGTAATGAGAACACGCACAGTACTGGAGAATCCAATTTCACAATAATGTTGAGTATTAACAAACAAAAAATTTTTAAATATTTTAAACATTTCCTTGGGCTCCTGAAGCTCTTTGAAAATTCAGCAACACCCACATATCCCAGAAACCAACATCTCCTGTGAAAGTTGTGTCACAGGTAGACAGGGTGGGAAAAGCAGCATTTGGCATGCTTGCCTTCATTGCTCAGACCAATGAATACAGTAATTGGGACATTATTTTGCAGTTGTACAGGATGTTGGTGAGCCCCCTCTTGGAGTACTGTGTACATTTGTGGTTACCTGCTATAGGAAGGATATTATTAAAGTGAAGGTGGTTCAGAAAAGATTTACCAGAATATTATCAGGAATGGAGGGTTTGAGTTTTAAGGAGAGGTTGGATAGGCTGGGATTCTTTTCACTGGAATGTAGGAGGCTGAGGGGGTGACTTTATAGAAGTTTATAAAATCATGAGGGGCACAGATAAGGTGAATAGTAAAGGCCTATTCCCCAGGGTAGGGGAGTTCAAAAGTAGGGGGCATAATTTTAAAGTGAGAGGGGAAAGATTTAAAAGGGATCCAAAAGGTAACATTTTCACACAGAGGGTGGTTTGTATGTGGAACGAACTGCCAGAGGAAGTGGTTTATGCAGGTACAGTTACAACATTTAAAAGATATTTGTACAGGTTTAGAGGGATTTGGGCCAAATGCAGGCAAATCTGACTAGTTTAGTTTGGGAAAATTGGTCGCTTGGATGAGTTGGACTGAAGGTCTGTTTCTGTGCTGTATGACTCATCTGAACACAATTATTGTTCAGATTTGTTCACTATTCATCCCTTGCAAACATTATGTAATTTCTTATTTCATGCAACACCTGTGTATAAAACATTTTTACATCCTGTCTATTAAGTCTAATTTTAGATCTAAAATGGCTGTGCAGAATTATGTCATGTATTCATGTCAATGTAATAACAATCAATTTCCATTCCTTATAAATTAATGGGTTAAACATTCACAGCCATTATGTCAAACACATACTCACCATGGGAGATCCCAATTGTAGCAGTACAGCTAGTAAGGAAACAATACATATACTCCATACTGCAATAGCTACACAGCAATTTAATGCTGCCATATTTAAAAGTGATTACATTTACACAAAGCTTGTCTGCGTTAAAGCAGTGTCACTTTTAATACCATTCTCCGATTCCATACCTTCAACATATTTATTTTTGTTTATGCTAACAAAATTAAACAGCTCACGTTTCAACAAATGGTATTTATTCATCAAACTGACGTAACAAAATAATGGCACACCACCATTAATGGTGTCCACATTTTGGATAAATGTCACCCATGTACCCTTTTTTTTAAAGGAATTCCACATTAAAAATGAAGTTTCTTTACAATAGCAGCAAGTGCGTAAGGATAAGTAAGAAAAAAACTTTTATAATGAAGTCCTGAAGACCTATAACTAAACAAAAGTTTGAACAATTTATTGAATCAGACTATAGCTTTAGAATGTCAACTGACCAGCTCAAATCTTTAAAGATGCATTGATTGTTGCCACAGAAAATAACCTTGGCTAATTTGAATCTAATAGATATGTCTTATCTACCTCACAACCATACTGTTACCCTTTTAGATTTCTAAGTGCAGCTTCTGTTATGAGACCAACCCTCTAAGATTCTGAATTGATATACGTTAGCTGCAAAACCAAGAATTAAGGTCAAGATGGTGATGTAATAGTTTTTTAGCTGAGCTTATAAAGTAAGATTACCATAAATAAAATAGGACAGAGCTAGAGAACTAATCATGGCCTGAGTTTGAAGCCAAACTCAGCAACTGCCACACAATGCCCCACTGTGTTTGTTTAACATTGTGCCATATAGATATCATTCACTACACTTTGATCATTATCATTGGCTTAGAGACATCTCCCAGCTGGCTTTCCAACAGTAGTAGTAACCAGTTGGCTCTTGCAGATGAAACAATGTCTAGCATATTACAGGTTGAAGTGGGAGATAGTGAGGAAATTGCCAAATGCCGCTAAACAGAAATGCTTAGAAACAACTATCAATACTGTCGCAGGCTTACTGCAGTGTTCCAGCGAAGCTCAACGCAAACTGGAAGAACACCACCTCATTTTCCGCTTGGGGACCCTGCAGCCCTCCGGACTCGATAATATATCGAGTTCAATAATTTTAAGGCCTGAACTCTCCCAGGCCCTAGCCCCGTACCCCACACACCAAGCCTTGTTATCACAGCCTGCCATTGCACATGACGTATTGTTAGTCACTAACAGTCCCCATTAACATCTATACACCCTCCCAGCCTGATCGTTATCAACTCTTTTGTCTGTTCAACTGTTCTTGTGTCTTTGGGCTCTATCCCCAACTATCATATGCTCCTTACCCCCACACTCTTCTGCACATAAACTGACACTTTCCTAGCTGCCATCAGTTCTGAGGAAGGGTCACTGGGCCCAATGCGTTAACTCTGATTTCTCTTTACAGATGCTGCCAGACCTGCTGAGGTTTTCCAGCAATTTCTGTTTTTGTTTCTGATTTACAGCATCAGCAGTTCTTTTGCTATTTATCAATACTGAAAAGATATTTGCTATTCAACCTGAAGTAATATTACAGACTTGCAGGAAAGAGGAGATTAGAAGATAAAAGGAAAAGTGAAAAGTCTGCAATTTAGAAATATACAAGCGTAATAGTAGAGGAATTACTGTGTATTTTGGACATAATGAAGTTACCAGTCAGTCTAAACTTATCTAAAGAAAAGTCAGAAATCGAAACACAGATTGGAGAGGAGGAAGGATTATTTTACATTCTCACCTAGGCAACTGTTTGTAAAGATATCTCTTCAAGTCCTGTATAAAAGACATATATTAGAAGAATGCAGTAAAAATGTAGAATTATACTGCACATTTTCAACTTGAATAAGAATTGAAGTTCAAACCCTTAGCTGCTCCAGTAAGAGTTGGCAGTTAGAACTGCCATGAATTTATTTTTAGTTAATTGTTTAAAAATGTCAACTGCATCCAAATTTAATTCAAGCCGGTCTCAACTGGTTACAGTTATTTAACACTCACCTTCACGCATGAAGTATTCCACAGCAAGATCCTGTATACACAGGATAATACCTTCCTCTCTCAAAGGCTGTGTTGAGAGGGGGATAAGAGGAAAGACTCACACCCACTTTAAACTTTCACATGTTCAGTAAATAAATTTCAACCTCACATTACGGGTATCAGGCCCGGTAGTTGCATGCACACTGTAGAAAACTCTGCTCAAAGCAAGCTTAAATAGACCAACAGAAGATGACACAGCCTAATATTTTAATTTTTGAATAATTAGGAAATAAAACAAGAGAATGTCTTGCTAATGGGATCCACGGATGCTATTGACTACATTTTTAGATGCAAACAGAACCTCTTCTACAAAACTGGCTGCATTGCTTACTGTAGTATCATATTCACTGTACTAGTCAGCTTAATTAACAATAGAAGGCATTTTCCATATGCTGTTCAAACTTACTACAACATAGGTAGCCTAACAATATACACATTTCTTTTTAGTAATTAAGAAAATATTACTTACATCTGCCATCTTCCTTTAAAATGTTGCAGAGAAAACTCAATTCTGAAACAAAACCATAAAACACCTTCGCTAAACATGACTTTATCCTTTGATACTTACTAAAATAAACAAAAGCATGCTCAATTTAATATGCTAATTAAATGTGCTATAACAGACCACGTGGAGTGAAGGAATGTAAAATTTTTAAAATCAGTGGCCTTTAACTGTGTTTGGAATATTCAGTTCTGAGCAACAAAATATATTCTGCATCCATGGTTTGATGTTGCTTCTAAACTTCCCACATGCTTCAGCCACCATCATACTCACTATTCAAATCCCTCCATGGGCTTATTCCCCAATATTAACCAATTCTATCAATCCTCTAACTTGGGCCTCCCGATTTTAAACATATACTAGGTAGCTGTTCCTTCAACTACCCAGATACTAAGCTCTGGGATACCCTCCCTAAACCTCTCTCCTTCCCCTGCACATCTGCCTCTAACTGATAGCTCAAGGAGCTCAGTATCAAAAATTTTCATTTTGGTGAAACATTTTGGGACATCTGAATACTTTAAAAGGTGCTTTATAAACACAAGTAGTTGTAGCAATGACATTTTTCTATTTCTCATATCAGTTATCTGGTCCAAAATACTAAATCAAGGATAATTTCACACTGTGCAACCATGCTTGGTAGCAACTAAGCTGAAGTTTCCTAAACACATTTTACTTAAGACACATACAACTAGGGAAGCTTTCACTTCTTCATTTTGCACTAATACATTTTTCAGTTCTAAAGCTATTCAGCTAATAGAATGACAGTTTCAAGTATGCAATGCTCTGGAACTTTAAAAATGCACAAGAGCATTTGTCCAAATTTAAAATATATGGCACCTATTAAGAGAGTTTTTTTTAAAATCTTAAATGAATATTTCTGAAAAAAAAAACAAAACTAAATATTACTCCAGATAGTTTTCTAATATCTATAATGTGCAACTGTATGAAAGTGACCAACTTCATCACATCCTAGGGCATTAAAGAATTTGCCGAGCATTCACTGTCCCTGGATATTGAAGAACAATCATACAGTGCAGAAGAGGCCATTCGGCCCATCATGTCTGTCCTTCTAGAAATATATTACTACCTACACTTTCCTGTACAAGATCCATAGCCTTAAATGTTTGACACTTCAAGCTCCCATCCAAGTGCTTCTTAAAAAGGTTGAGGCTTCCCACCTTAACTATCCTCCCAGGCAGTGCATTGTAGACACCCTTTGGGTGAAAAAGCTTTTCCTCAAATCCCCTCTGAACATCCAGCCTTACAGGTTAAATTTATGCACCTCCCCCACCCAGCTATTAACTCTTCAACTGAGGGGAACAGCTGCTTTCTATCCACCCTGTCCATGCCCCTTATAATCTCATACACCTCTATAATGTTTCCCCCACCCCCCAACTTTCTCTGCTCCAAAGGAAACAACCAGAGTTCATCTAGCCTCTCATCATAGCTGAAGTTCTCCATCCCAGGCAACATCGTGGTGAATCTTCTTTGTACCCCCTCCAGCATAATTACATCCTTCCTACGTGGAACTGCACTACAGCTATGGCCTAACAGAAGTTCTGTACAGCTCCAACTTGAAACCCCCTTGCTTTTATAATCCATGCCACGACCGATAAAAGCAGTTTATGTTATCTTATGTTTTCTTAAGAAATATATACTACCAAGCCACTGAATTCTTAAATAATAAAACCCAAACACATTTTGCAAAAGAACCTCTTTCTCCTTCTCCACCAGAATAGAACTCCCCAGATCTCAAATTAATTTCTAAATTCTACTATTCCTCAAGAGTAGTCTGACCTGAGGGCAAAGACAATATTGTGACTTTGTCTCATTCAAAAGATGCACCTCTGACAGTGCAGCACTCCCTTCGCACTGCATTGGGACTGTCTGTCAAGATTCACAAGTTCAAGACTTGAGTGGAATCTGAATATCAGTCAAATCAACCTTTAACCTTTTCTACTTGAAGAAATCCCCAGCTTCTCCACCGTGAAGTCTATCATGCTTAACACCAAGTATCACATTACGGATGTGGTGGTGCTGGATGTCTTAAAATGCTTAAAAGGCAGATAAATCTGATTCAGTGTATGCCTGAACTTTGCTGCCATCGATAGCCGTGGGTGAGGTGCTGGGAGACTGGAGGGTGGCTAACATGGTGTCATTATTTAAGATTAGCTCCAAGGAAAAGCCAGGGAACTATAGACCGGTGAGCCTGATGTCAGTGGTAGGTCCATTGTTGGAGGGGAATCTGAGGGACAGGATTTACATATGTTTGGAAAGGCAAGGACCGATTTGGGATAGCCAACATGTCTTTGTGTGTGGGAAATTGTGTCTCACTAACTTGACTGAGTTTTTTTGAAGTGGCAAAGAAGATTGATGAAGGCAGAACGACGTAGACAACATTTGCCTTTATTGGTCAGTGCATTGAGTATAAGAGTTGGGAGGTCATGTTGCGGCTGTACAGGACATTGGTTAGACCACTTTTAGAATACTTTGTTCAATTCTGGTCTCCCTGCTATAGGAAGGATGTTGTGAAACTTGAAAGGGTTCAGAAAAGATTTAGAAGAACGTTGCTGGGGTTGGAAGGTTTGGGCTGTAGGGAGAGGCTGAATAGAGTGGGATTATTTTCCCTGGACTGAGGGAGGCTGAGAGTGACCTTATAGAGGTTTATAAAATCGTAAGGGTATGGATAGGGTGAATAGCCAAGGTATTTTGCCCAGGGTAGGGGAGTCCAAAACTAGAGGGCATAGGTTTAAGGTGAAGTGGGAAAGACTTAAAGACAACCTAAAGGGCAAAGTTTTCATGGAGAGGATGGTGCATGCATGGAATAAGCTGCCAGAGGAAGTGGTGGAGGCTGGTATCATTACAACATTTAAAAGGCATCTGGATGGATACATGAATAGGAAGGGTTTAGAGGGATATGGGCCAAATGCTGGCACGTGGGACTAGATTAGTGTAGGATATCTAGTTGGCACGGACCAGCTGAACCAAATGGGCTATTTCCGTGCTGTACAACTCCATGACATCCTCAACTCCATTCTGATAAATCTCCTCTACAAAACCTTAGCACCCTTTCTAGAAGTATACTACCTAGGATTGGGATTTTTTTTTAATGTTTAGTGTTTCTACCAACTGCTTCTTTGCACGGTCAAACATTGAATGTACTTTGACTGCACTTGCTCTGCCACTCTCAATGATAGATGTACTATCCCTCCAAGGTGTCACTGTTCCTTCCAAAAAACTTAAGTTATTGAAATTGTACTAGTTTTATATTGCCATTCTACACAGTCATAGAGCTGTACAGCATGGGAACAGATCCTCTGTTCAAATCACCCAGGGCAAACAGATACCCCAAATTAATCTAGTCCCATTTCCAGCATTTAGACTATCTCCCTCTAACCCTCCCTATTCATATACCCATCCAGATGCCTTTTAAATACTGTAATTGTCCCAGCCTCCACCACTTCCTCTGGCAGCTCATTCCATACACTCATGCAGAGGGTGGTGCAAAAGTTGCCTTTAAGGGCCCTTTTAAATCTTTCCCTTATCACCTTAATCCTACACCATCTAGTTTTGGACTCCTCTACCCCAGGGAAAAGACCTTGGCTATTCACCATATCGAGGCCCCTCATGGTTTTATAAACCCCTATAAAAGGTCATCCTCAGCCTCTGACACTCCAGGGAAAGTAGTCCCCCTTTGTTAAATTTTGTCACTGTCTACTCATTTTATAGGTCTTTGTCTTTCTGCAGTCCATTACTGCTTCCTCATTTTTCTTTGATTTCCAAATTTTGGACCTTTGGTAATCTTTGAAATTGTGCTAAAATGACAAAGACATTAACGTTCATCAAAACAGACAAACCTGAAAGCCAAAAAACTAAAGCTGTGGAGATTGGTGGGAAAACTGCTTTTAATTCCTTTACCTGGGAGAATCTCCATCACTGTGGTGGTCTGACAGTGAAGATGAAGTGAAAGCAACACATCTCACTATCTCAAACATCTCAGAGAATGGCTGTTTTCTCTGCTGAGTGGGTCAGCAACATTTAAAAATCATTGGTGAGTGGGGAGAGGAGAATGTCACTACACTTGGAGATTTGTTGGAATCAAGAACATGATACTTGAAAGAATGCTAAGAGTTGATTTGATAAATAAAAGAATTCATTGCATAGCACTTTAATGGCCTCAGGATGTTCCCCAGAGTTTTACAGCACCTAAAGTACTTTTGAAGTCTCGCTATTGTAACGTACAGAGTTAAAAGTCACAGAAGCACAAAACTCAGCACAAAAGTCCATTTGCCTGGCCATGCCAACTGCTTTTGTATGGAGTAATTCCATTTTCCTACATGCTCCCCACAATAGCAGACATTTATTCTCCAATTATCCAACTCTTTGAAAGCATGACAGAAACGGTCTCCATCATCCTCAATCAGGGCATTCTTGTTTAGATCATAACTACTTGTTGGGCAATAAAGATAGTGTAACAGAGCAGACAACTTCTTGACAGGAAACTCCACAAACAGCAGTCCAACAATGACTTATAGAGCGATGCTAATTTGATAATGAACAATGAGGATGATACTGGTGAGAACTCTGTTGCCTCTCTTCCAAATATTATTCACAGAGAAAGGGTTGGGAGGATGGCTCATCCAAAAGACAGCACCTCTGACAGATCAGCACTCCCTCAGTGAGGCACTGCTCAACAACTGAAGCCAAAAGGCAGGTGAAGGGTGGGGGGAGGTGGTGGTCTCAAGTGGCAATGTAAAAGGTGAAGACTGTCCAGCAGGGCTAGACAGACTGAATGGTCTCCAGCCTACACACCCACCATGACATTCCCCACCCAGCCCAGCCCCAAAATCAGCTGCCAAGGCAGGTCACATGGGCTCAGGGTCAGCAGATCACCCCCAAGCCCCTGCAAAACACAGCTGGGAGACCCCGAGCCCCTGCAAAACTCGGCAAGGAAGCCCCTGGAGAGGAGCGCAGGGAGACCCCAAGCCCCTGGAAGGGAGCACAGGGAAACCCCAAGCCCCTGCAAAACACGGCAGGGAGCCCCCAAATCCCTGGAGGGGAGGGCAGGGTCCCTACGACCCGCAAACACTCACATCTCCCGGAGATAACAGAAACTTCCAGACAGGCCCAGCCGTTTAAAACCGAGCAGCCGATTTCAACAACACCGCGCCCTTTACTTCCAATCGAGGACTCAGGCCGACCCGCGGACGGGACAATGTTCAGGCCCGGGCCCGGGGATTTACCTCACTGTAACCCAGAGGCCCGGGCCCGGGGATTTACCTCACTGTAACCCAGGGGCCCGGGCC